TTTTTAGCATTTCCCTATTCTTTCCTAAAGAATGTCTTAAATGGTAATAGTGTACATGTCATATTCCAGTGGTTAGGGTGTACGAAAAGTATGCATACGTGCTGGAAATCATTTTTACAGTCCTTGTACTATGCAGGAAATCACATTGATAAGAAAAAAGTTATACATGTTAATCCCAGGAATAAGCACCAGAGTATTTACTTGCAGAATTGTGTTCTAATCATTTTGGATGCATAAACACATGGGACTATTGTTACATTCTCGTAGCAAAGTGATGGCAAAAATAGGACAAAAAGAAAGACAAGAAATACCATAGGACTGTAGCATCATAGGAAAGGAACAGTCTGCAAGCGTTCAGCTCTTCTGTGTAGGCATTTAGTCTGGTCCACAGTGACCATTTTTGTATGCTGTGTAGTACTTCTGCTCCAGTTGCAGGCATTACTCATAGCCTCGATATCTGTGTGCAAGAGCAGCATACAGTAGCAGAAAGAGGACTGGAGGAGACTTGCAGTCTTTCTCAGGTTTAAATTCCTGGCTAACAGCATGCTTTATAATATTGTGTCAATGAACGGATGCCTCCGTCACTCTGAAAAGGAAATAATTAATTACACATGTAGAATTGCTCTACTTGATTATTTAAGTGAAGCAGCAATTGAGGACAGAAACGTAGAGTGCCCATGATTGTAATTAGGCTTTATTGCAAGAGTCTGCAAAAATTTACTAAGATAAGTAATCCAGAAACCTCAGTTATCTTCAAAGATCAGGGAACTGTTCCTTCCATTCTATCAAGGAATCCCTATTTGTTTCTCCTGTTCACTTACTTGCAGAGATTAGAGGATGGTACATTACTGGAGTTACAAAATACCCCACTTTGCTAGCCATGACCGCTGTGCATTCTGTGAGCAGGTTTCTTGTGTATCAAGGGGGACGTTATCTCACAGAAATTATTAATAAGAAGCAGTTATTAGAAACACAATAAATACTTAATTATAACCATGAATAGCTGCTGGAAAACCCTACCAAATTAAATTATGATGTATTTTCTCTCACTTGAATTCTTCAGATCAAAGCTGGGTGGTTTAGCTTGAGTCCTAGAATTTGTTTTAAATACAGGAGGAACTGACAAAAATTCTGTGATTTGCCCATTGCAACTCTGACTTATGGCAGTTTTGCATCTTGGACAGAGAGGTAGTGGAGGCCCCATCCATGGAAAACATTCAAGGCCAGGTTGGACGGGGCTCTGAGCAACCTGATCTAGTTAGTGGTGCTCACTGCAGGGGGGTTGGACTAGATGACCTCTAGGGGTCCCTTCCAGCCCAAAACATTCTATGATTCTATGATTCTATGACATTGAGATGCTTAAGTTACCTCCACAGAAGGAGATATGTCTGTAAGTGTTCAATTCACTGACTGAAATACCAGGTAGCACTAGCTTAGGTGTGGTGCCACAAGAATGCATCTGTACAGCTTTTGGACTTAGCGTGTCTTAATCTGATGGTGGCTGTATGAATTTGCAAGCCTGTATCTGCGGTAAATGTAGGGTCTCTGCACTATGCCACACACTGTAGGCATTCTTACCATGAGTTAATGATCTTTATTGGCCTTAAAATCAATGAATTTACATGTGAAAGACTAAGAACTCAGAGAAAGAATGAGGCAAGATTTTTCTGCGCTGGTGAAATGAACACTGCTCTTGAGAAAATTCAAATATCATAAGCAAAGTTTTTGATGAGCAGTGTTATAACTGGGATGATTTCAAGATTGGGCAGTGCATAGGAAGTCCAACAAGTAGTTCCAAGATGGGAGAGCGAGGGGGCTGATTGAAACAACAGCTCTTTGGAGCAAGAGATGGTAAGAAATTGTATGCTAGACCCAAGGGTATCTTACTTATTTAATGAGAGAAAATTAAATGTATTTAAAAGAGAAAATACAAAGAAATAGGTGGAGAGGACAGGGCACCAGATCTAATCCAAAGCTTAAGGAGGCAGCTGGGCTAACATTTTATTTCCATGCAGCAGAAAAACATGATTAATATAATTATTCTAGGGCTTCAATGAAATCTGAACAGGTTAGAATCATGGTTGTGTGCTTTTGAAGTAAAAATGTTTCTAGAGGAACTGGCTGTAATGACTTCATTTCTCCTTGTCTATCTTAACACTAGAAAATAACAGATAAAGGCTATTTTAGGATATTAATTCTTAAAAATATTAAGCTATTTGTTGGTTGGTTTTTGGTTTTGGTTTTTTTTTTTTTTTCCTAGAGGTCTGTAATTTTGTTCTGGCTTTTTAAAATTTGGTAGTAATTTTACAGTACTGTTTTCAGATCCAGATGCTGTATTTTGTATCCATCAGCAAAGTTCCATTGACTTGAATGGAGTGACAGTGATTTACATATCCTGTTGACTTAGTCTCATTTTATCTTGAAAGCTTATCATCAGTGAAACAGTAGAAGAGGAGAAAGATGCACAAAAATTATTTAATTAAATTTTTTCCAGTTGAAATGTTATATATTAATATTGTTTATGTAACATCAGTAAAGCCAAATACCGGGTCCCTGACCTAGAGGAATTCTCATTTGAAGACACAGTAAATTCAGTTCTGTTCAAAGCCAGTGGAGAATGTAGCTGGCCTGCTGGCAGCAGCAAAGGGACAAGTAGCCTTTGGTCCTCACTTGATCAGGTGGTGCTTCCTTTTTTAGATTCTTAAAATGTTCACAAGAATGTTTTGTGGGGTAGAGTTTTGTGGGCTAGAGAGAAAATATGTAAGCTGAATATCAGTCTCAGGTATTTTTCCATGGTTTTAAAAGATCTAAGTGGTACCTCTTGCACTTCTAAAATACAATGAAACCCAAGCTTACTGCCTCATAGTCAAAGGTCTTCTTACTGAAAGCTTATGTTTCTTTACTGTAACTAGAATTTGACAGAGATTTATATGCCTGCCTAAGTCCACTGGTGGAATAGCAGTAGTAGGCATTTAATTATTGCTTAGTTTATTTGAAGAGTTAGGGTGTATACTGATTTCTTTAGCTTTTTGTAGGCTATCACATGACTTTTTTTTTCCCTGTTAACTGGAATATTATCGAGCTGTAGCAAAATGAGGAACAGAGGAATGATTTCTTTTCTCTATAAAACCAGTTGGAGCTTGGCGGGGTTTATTTTATCTAAAGATAAATGCCTCATTACAAAAAAAACCCCCACAAAATCTCTCCCTCCTGTTGTATACTGATGAATTTTTCTTGATAATAATAATTTTTAAAATACATACAATATTAATCACTAACTTTGCCAAACACCATTTTTACACTGAACTTCTCAACTATTCTCTCAAATTTGTAGCTGTTCGAAGACGTGTTTCCAGATGAAAAAACAGAGAAGATGCCACCTCTTTAAAATAATTTTTCTGATGTATATCTATGTTCTTGAAACAAACAATTTTAAGATTTTAAATGCTTTTTACTACTGTAATTCACATTTTTTCAAAACGTAAGTCAAAAGTCAGACTTAATGCATTTATGTACGGGTCTGAGATGTGTGGGTTTTTTGTTGAGTTTATTTGAAATGTTCATATAATCAGAAACTTCTGGTAATTTACAGCCCACCTAAGTAGAGTGCTGTCCTCCAAATGGGGAGAGTAAAAATATGAATGTGATTTTAATAAAGGCAAGAGATAATGCAAAATGGGAAGTGGGAGGAAGGAGTAAAGAAAGGAGAAATAGAGACAAAACCTTTGGCTTTGCCACTTCTTCAAGCAATCCTTGGATATGTTTGCATGATGGAGCTTGCAGGCAGACACAAGTTTGTTCTACCTGCAATTTGGAAGAAGCTTTCTCTCACTTGGAAGTTAGATGGCAGCGCTAAGTCTGCAGAACATACATCTGAGGATTAATCTGAATTGGTAGTACTTTTTAAAATGTTATGGACAGTTTTATGACAATCAACAACATTTTAAGCTTTTTTAACCAGTGTATTGCTCAGATCTAATTTTATGATAAATAATAAACTTCTAGCCAACAGTCACCAAAACAGTTTGTTCCTCCCCAATATAATACTCCAGAAACATAAATGTGCCCTGAGCTTTTTCAAAGAATGAGGTTTCTTTGCTAGAATAAGGGTAGCTAAGTAATTGATCTGACTGATTCCTGCAGATGGATACTTCGCTGTGCAATACCGGAGTGTACTTCATGTGACACAGCTAATTCTGAGCCCCAAGCAGACATTCTGCTGCTGTGCTAGCTAAGTGATATAATCATATTGAGACTAAATAAATTTTCTGCTTGTGTCAAATTTGTATTGCCATTTGAAAGCTAGTTTAAAGTGTCATTTAAAAAATGAATGCAAATAAAATTAAACACTTCTCTAGTATCCTGAGTTCTCCAGTATTCTAAATCATTGAATTTACATGACAGATTTATCAAGCATTCTTAGTCCAGCCTTGGAATTGGTATGCACAGTCCTATTGAGATGTTGTAGGGATCGTAGAAAAGATGATCATAGATAAACTTTTGGTTTGCTGTACTGGGTGTATTACTGCATCCTTTGGTAGATAAGTTTACAAATATATGGTTCTTGCTTTTTTCAGCCTATTAAAAAGCAGAGCACAGAAACCAAAGTACTGTAATAAGAATCAGCAGTGTAATCTGAATTAAATGCACATATTAATATATGTCAAAGCATTATATTTATATCTCAAAATCAAAATAAACAGTGATATAAATGAATAACTGTGAATTCTTGTTTTCCATTTCAGGTCAAGAGATGGAGAACAGAATTTCAGTTTCCATTTCCAAAAATATTATGATGGATACTTGAATAATTCTGTCCTATGTTGGTTATAAATAGTGGTTTAAATTCTTTGTATAAAGAGCCATGAGTAATTTTACATTTCCTGGTACTTATTGTGTGTGTCTGTTTTTAAGACGTTTCAAATCTTCAGGTGTTTTCTGAGATAACTGTATCCCACGTATTACTTGTTAGATCTGACAGGATTCATGTTCTCTTTCAGGAGACGCTGATAGATTGGTGTGATGAAAAGGAACTTAATTTGATTTTAACAACTGGAGGAACAGGGTTTGCACCACGAGATGTCACTCCAGAGGTGAGATAGTCCTCAAATAAGAAAAATCTGCCCTTTGGTGTAGAACCTTATGAGTCTGGGGGAAAGGGATGATATGTTTTTGAAATTTCCTTTGTAAATTTACTTTGCAGTATCTCTGGACGGGTCAAGTGATACACGACTTGGAAGCAGAAAAAGCAATAGGCAATATAGCACAAGAGAATTACTTTGACCTTGGGTTCTGATCCAAAACGATTTTCAAACTAAAATGTGGCATAGTATAATAGAGTTCCAGTCCCCTTACAAAACAAAATTCTAATGGCTTTTTGGCTTAATTTTCCTTAGCACTGCAGTACAACACTGCTAAGCACAAACTTGTATGACTTTTGTTGTGTCCTGCACAAGGAAAAGTGGGTAAGAGAGATCCCTTAATTCTCCCTTGCAGGCTACTGCATTGACCACCACTGCATTAGAGGTTAGAGTGTGGGAGGCAGATAGCAGGGGGAAAAAATTCTGTGCAAAGCTGCTGTGGCTTTGCTTGACCCCACATTGTCGAAAAAAGCTAAACAGGCACAGAGATGGTGGTAACCTGCACAAGTAAATGTTGCACAGGAAATCTCGTTACATTCCACTTATAAGGAGCTAAGGTAAGGACAAAAAAAAGGAAACTTAACCTAATAACTTCATGGCCATGAGTTGTAATATGAAATGACTCTGTGATTGCTGTTTGAAGTATTTTTGTATTTATGGTTCCAAATTAGATTAATATGAATTTTTAAAATCACATACTTTTTTTGGTTTGCTTATGTTCACTAAAGGGCAAAATTAAGATTGAGTGTCTGAAGTGTTTATTTCCATAATTTAACATATTTAGATTTCTCTTAAGTACTCATATAAGTTTTCAATTGCTGTGACTTTCAATTTAGAGTTGATTTGAGTTCGTTATAACGTGCCTACAATGCTTTTTACTTACAAATGTGTTCTGTCAACTGTGGCTGCAGTTTAACTTTTTTTCCATTAGGAAGCTAAAAATATTTTTTAATATTTTTTAATTTATTTGTATGCCTAAACAAACCTGTATAGACAATGTTCCTGTACATTACTTCTGGTGGTTTTAGATTATATACTAGAAAGCTTCAGTAACTAAAATCTAAGGGTCTGGGTATCAGAAAATGGGAACAGTGTAAGATAACCACAGTGTGCTAGCTAGTGAAACTGCCTTTGCAGATGATTCACTGTGCTAAAGCAACGCAAAAGTGAAAAGTGTGTTGGTTGAATTGGTCTCTTACTTGCAAACTAACTTAATGGTTTTGAAGGTTGTATTCCCAGCACTGTGTAAAAGGAGGGCTGAATCTCTGCTTCAGTTTTCCTGATTTATTACCTTTATGCAGGGTTGAGCCTAGGCAGTAGTGCCAGAGGAAGCATTGAAGCCACTGCCAAAAATTAGCCAGAGGTTCTCAAGCAGGATTTGAGACAAGAAATAGACAGATGAGAACTTCACATAAACACCTAGTATTTTCCTTACATTGCTTCATTGCTGTTACTCAAACTAATAATTTGACAGGTGGTAATGATTTGTTTGATTAGTTTTGATGTTACAGTGAGCCATTTTAAAAATTATCTGAGTTGTTGAAGTATCTTTTTATAATCAAAACACATTGATATGAAAATCATTACTAACTTGTACTGAAGAAAAAGTGCATTGTTTTAAACATAATAGGTATGCAAGACTTCAGTTGGTTATAACAGAATTAAGTGTTCTGACTGTTGAATTATTAAAATACTTAATAATTTATATAGAACAGTATTTATTCACTTTTCACTCATTTAAGTTGAATTAACTTGCAAGACTAAACTTAAATCACAGTGGAGAGATTGCATCCCAGTTTTTATTACAAAGTGGCAATGATAAGGTTTGTTCTTATGATAGGGTTTATTAGATCATTCATTCAAACAAATGTTTTAAGGGAAGAAAATCAGTTTGCCAGTAGGTGTCATAACAAAAACATAGGAAGAAGCATAAGCTTTGGCCCCATATTTTATGTCTTTTGGGTCAATGAGAGAACCAGCTCAAAATGAAAAATTCATTATGTCAACATGAAATGTGCAATAGCAAGGAAAATGTGCATTGATGTAGGAAATGGTTTTAATCTCTTCCATGTATGGTATTCATCGAGCATGCTCTCCTCTCATTACCAAAATGATAATGAAATGATGTGATCATGACATTGTGCTATTGCGATGTCATCTTTAAGACACGGTTTTAAAACTGGTAGTAATTGAACCTGATACTGCAAGACATTTTAGCATTTTTCCTGAGAGTAGGGAGAGTAGTCCCTTGGGTCGTATTTCAGCTGGAATGATTCAGTCCTGCTTCTCCTTGATCCTCCTGTACTTTTGATTGGAAAACACATTTTTCTGCTTTCTTTTCTGAGCATAGATACATACCTGCTATTGTACTGTATAAGATAAAGCTAGTTTCTGAGAGTATTTACAGCCCAAAGAAGTAATGTTAATTGAATTTTGTAATTATTGATTAAATTGAATTAAGTGCCTAGCATAATGTATCTATTTAAAATAACCTCTTGAAAGTTCAGAAATTTATGATTAAGTTTCAATAAAAATTTCTGGGTTTCCCCACTCATTTTGCCTTTTGAACACTATAGCAGAATCGTAGCAGGTTATTACAGTTGTTTCAATGACGTGTAATGACTTCTTTTTCTTATAATGGAACAGATGATTTTACAGGTATTCACAATATCTTATTTTCCTTATCTGTCTCTGGTCCCTAAATTTATAGCCTCAGTTTAGTCAGTGGGTGGGGCGAAGCTTTTGAATTAGTTACTATGATTCACATTTTGAGGAGTGAGGGTCAATTGAATTCAGCAGTGTGAATATCCTTTGCCTTCTTGTCTACGTGACTAGAAGTGATGAAATGCATGTGGATATTTAAAACCCCAAATTCATGTAATGGATGGCTGAATTTGAAGGGAACTGTCTTGTAGATGTTACTAGTGAATGCTGCAATTCTTCATCTATTATGGCAGTTGATAGTAGTTCACAGTTGGACTAAAGCCAAAGTGTAGGCTTAATTTTGTAGCTACAACCACTTTTTTTGACTATCTTGTTTTGCCTGTAATTTATGGGGGTAGTGTTTAAATCCATACTGGAAATGCTCATACGCTGTTTGTTGATTTTAAAAGTGTTTGTTACTGGACAGAGATCAGGGCTTTACATATGGCCAAAGTTAATTTATTTAGGGAACTTTTGTATTTTGAGATGCAAACATTTTTTCCTTGGAACTACAAAACTTGAGCAATAGGCAGTTATGGTACTTACAGAATGTTAATGATAATATACATTATCTTCTGTGAAAATATTTAAATAATGTGGAAGCATTTTTATCTATCAGTAGGTGTCCTTTGATATAGAAATGTGTTTTCTTGATTGCTGTTGGTCAATACAAGGGAGAAAGGAAAAATCTCATTTATACAGGTGCTCTGTACAGCTTTTTATCTTCTGTCTTCTCTATTTTTACATATATTCTTCTGCAAAATTGTACATCAAAAAAATTCACTTGTTTGCCCCAACAGAGTCTTCTAGCTGTTTTCCTATCCTTCGTCTCTAGTGTGGCTCGCCAGTCTGGTTTGCTCCCCTACGAGACTAATTTTATATACTGAGATAATAGCAATAGAAGTCACCTTATTGTGCCTCAGCTGATGCTAGACATCTTTGAGCTGTGTTGCTATGTGTATTCACAAATAGTTCGGCCATGTTGCAGATAATTGTCAGTCCTGAAACTGTAAGATAAGACTTTAGAAGAAGCATAGAAAAGCTCTTTTCCATCATGTAAAACCAGACAGATGTTTCCTTAAGTCTTCTTCCTTTTCCAATGCTCTGGAAAAATTATGAATGCTCCTTTTGGTTCTTACTTCCAATATTTATGCACTTTTAAAACATATTTAGACATACGCCTGTTTTCATTTAATCTGACAATATATGCATATTTGTTTATTCTTTCATGGAAGTTCTCTAGTGCATGAAAAGAAATAGTCATTCTCTGGAAATCCCTCCTCTTTGTCAGCTTTTTTCTGGAAAAAGCGTGCTCAAAATGAATAAAATACTCCAAACGTAGCCACACAAAAGCTGTGTCTGGAGAGAAGAAATTCTCTATTCTGCTGTGATATAAAGTCTTTGTATGTTCGATTCAAAATTGCACCAGTGTTTTTATAATCAATATCAATTGCAAATTTTCTGTCACCTGGCTTTTCCCAGTTCCCTAAGGTATCTTTCACTGTTGCTGTTGCCCAAGTTTCTCCTTAGAATTTAGTGTGAATTTTTCCTCAAATTCCATTTTATTTCTACAGACTATTTTAATGTCTGTATCCTTCCATTTCTCTGTACCACATAATGTTGACAACCCTCCTAATCTCTATTATTTGTAATTTTCATGTGTTCTGTCTGTTTGCTTTCCCTTCAACTTTGTTAATGAAATGCTTGTGACACAACAGGGTACGTCATGTTACAGCCATACTCTCACAGCAACACGTGTTCCCCCCAGATTAACCAAAGTCCAGAAACATTTCCAATAACAATTTCCATTTAAGAGACAATCATTTAAACTAGGAATAACATGTAGGTTTTTTCGTTCTCCCTAGTTCAAATAGCACCTTTCCAGAGAAGCAAGATTTCTAGTATTGTTTGTTGTGGATATGGGAGTATTCCTGTTGTTCTTCAGTGCTATTCAACTGTTCTTAGTGCCATACCAAAAACATCTTAGTGTTGGGACTGGTCCAAAAGAAACTAATTTTCTTTTTACAAACTGTCACTTCAGGATGCCTCCATAGTGAGGAGGAATGGAGTCTTCATCTCACATGGGACATTAGTCATTTTATGGCAGGGGGGGGTGTTGTTTCAGTTTTTCACCCTTTGATATTCAAGATACCCTCCAATTTAATAACCTGTTTCAGCATTTATTTTTGTAGTCTATTTTAATACTGTAGTTTTCTGTATCTCTTAATGGAGGTCTTGCTCCCCGTTAA